TAATTAAGCGTGTATTATCTAAACCGGGGTGTGTGGGTTGTATTAATTAGTCAGGTAAGGAGAGTATTAAAAGCCCAATCCGTATAAAATAGTCAGGTAATTAAATAATACAAGTTGACACCAAACACCTGACATAGACTATTTACTCCTATCCAGAGTCTAATACGGTGTACCAAACAAGCCCTTAATGTTTTCTTAATTGCTTTCATTTATCTATTTTAACAAAGTGATATCCTAATAATCATCATATCTTCTAATGAGTCTGTGTGAATGTGCGATCTTCTTACTACTGTTTCGTCTCTCTCTCTCTAATATCTTCTTCTTTAGCTATCACAGATTCACGTTATATGATTTGAGTCTCTTAACATTATATAGTTGTTAGGGAGAGAAGGCAATGTTCAGGAGCCAAAGCCACTATTTGACTTTAGGTGGGCTCAATTGACTAAAATGAAAGACCCTGTCTGTTTTAAGCTTGTAATTCAATTTGGGCCCTGTCATTGTTTCAAGTTCGGCCCAATTGTAAGTTTGGACTTAATGTTTTCTTAATTGCTTTCATTTATCTATTTTAACAAAGTGATATCCTAATAACTACTTTAGGGTACCGGGAGGGAGATCGAACTCAGATGGAAGGAAATATGTACAGTGTCTCGGCTAACTAGTATAATCCACGTCTACTTATCTATTTATTCTTTAATATGAATGTTTTGTCACTAGTTGAACTATACGGCGTCGTTGAAGGACCACTTCCATCACTAAAGGACTTTTGGAACCTAGTTCCCCTGCCCAAATTGCAACAGCATATAAATGGCATAATATATACATATGGTATGATATATTGATAAACACAGTCACAGTGCTCCGCTTTCTCTCTCTCTCTCTCTCTCTCTCTCTCTCTCTCTCTCTCTCTCTCTCTCTCTCTCTCTCTCTCTCTCTCTCTCTCTCTCTCTCTCTCTCTGCTAGCCTTATGGTTTCTTTCTAGTTTATAGTTTTATTAGTTTATAAACGTCTCCCTGCTTCAATTTAAGCACTGTTTCAGGTTCAAATGGCATCCGATGCTGCCATTGTCACTTGGTATCTATCTGCTCTCTCTCATATTTTTCACTATGCTATTGTGGTATTGTGCTATTATGGTTGGTTGGTGAAGCACAGAGAGACACACACAGAGGGTAAAACACGTTTCATTGTATTTGTCTTACTACACACAGGGGCTCGGGTGAAGATGGACAATTGGGAATCGGGAACAACGAGGAGAAGGAGTGGGTATGTGTTGTCGAAGCCCTCCAGTCACGGACTGTCCGGTCTGTTGTCGCTGGTAGCCGAAACTCTCTTGCCATTTGCGATGATGGCAAGGTGGGCCCCTTCCCCCTTTATCTTCTTCTTCTTCTTTACTTTGTCTTTATCACTCTTTTGATTCTTACCCTTTTCTTGTATTTGTGTGTATTTTGCACTTTTTTAAGTATTGGGTCTTGCTTTACTGAAATTTGGATACTTTTTTAGTTGTTGTAATTTTGTGTGTTGTGAATTGAACTGGGTACCAGTTGTTTACATGGGGTTGGAACCAAAGAGGAACCTTGGGGCACCCTCCAGAGACCAAAACTGAGAACATTCCTAGCCAAGTTAAAGCTCTTGCCAATGTTAAAATTGTTCAGGTAATTCACATATCATCGTAACCATGCTTGGCTTTGGAAATAGCTAATTGTTTGCATAAGTTTTCATCTGAATTTAACTAGTGGATGTTTTGAAATATAGGCTGCTATTGGTGGATGGCATTGTTTGGCTGTTGATGATCAAGGCCGTGCTTACGCTTGGGGTAGTTAATCGAGCTCTCTTTACTCTCTTTTTGTTTACTGTGAATATTTTGGATAAGAAGCTATTGCATAATATTGGGTTATCTTGTTTTCATTATTCAGAATCCAATAGAAGAACACAATGTAACTCCTTTAAGCCGGATACCAAAAGATGGTTGCTTTTTAATTCATGTGTATAACAACATCTAGGATATTTTATTTCTTCTGCTTCCATGTAGGGCTTTTATTTGGTTCTCTTGAGAGTGTTGAACTAGACCCCAGAGTTTACCTTTATTATCATTCTAAGCGTACCAAAGTTGTTTGGTGCAGGTGGAAATGAGTATGGACAGTGTAGCGAAGAACCTGAGCGGAAAGATGACACTGGTAGACCTTTGAGAAGGGATATAGTGATTCCTCAGCGCTGTGCACCGAAGCTTGTAGTCCGCCAGGTGAGTTACAAAAGCCAAAGAGTAGAACATTGACCTGCATGACACAAATTTTTGGATGCGGGATGCCTCTGTTTCTCGAGTGACATCTTTTTCCATAAAGTTTTTACATTTTCTGATTTTTACATCACAGGTAGCTGCTGGGGGTACTCACTCTGTGGTACTTACACGTGATGGGCAAGTATGGACTTGGGGTCAGCCGTGGCCTCCGGGAGACATGTATGTTGCCCTTAGACTTGACTCTGTCAATTTCTTTTCAAGCACTCCTTGGATGGCAGCCTACTTTCTGGGTTGTACTATATCAAACATGTTTCATACGTTAATAGTTACCTGCATAGTTGTAATTGAGAACTCATGGGACTGTTATTTATCCTAGAATGCTCTATGAGCTTTTCTTCTTATTTTCAGAAAACAAATTTCAACACCTGTGCGAGTACAAGGTCTTGATGCAGTGAAGCTCATTGCAGTTGGGGCATTTCATAATTTGGCTCTTCAAGAGGATGGTACTTTATGGGCATGGGGTAACAATGAATATGGACAGCTTGGAACTGGAGATACCCAGCCTAGATCACAACCTATTCCTGTCCAGGGTCTTTCTGGTCTTACTTTGGTTTGTAATACATTGCCTTTTATCTGTCTGTTTCATTTCTGGTAGTCATTTATGCCTAGCACCATGTGTGCTTATCTCAATTTCATCTGAATGTGTGCCTTCTGATATATTATCATCCATTGAAGTGTATTGTTCCAGACCTAGTTTTATTTCTTCATGATTGAGTTATCTTGTGAAGAAGTTTTGAAATCTTTTTAGACCATATGGTCCCTATATACAGATTTTGGTTCAGCAGATTTGGGAGCATGTAATGTATTGGTGTGAAAAATGTGCTTAGGCTTAAGGCAGAAGTGGGGCATCTATAGAGGTGAACTTATGTGGCAGTTAGTTGCTAATGTTTAGGCTTGCTGATACAGACCTGGGTTTCCTTTGGCACATACCTTTAGCGACTAGAAACATTTAAAACTGCATGTATGATATCATGCAAAAACAGTTCTGAAGACATAGGTATGTTTCTTTGTGAAGCCCTGATAAAATCCATTTATATCATTTAAAAGAACTGAAGATGCAAGTGTGTTAGTCTCAAAATATTTTATGAGCCCCTTCAAATTAGGCAGAGACGGGGGCCTTGGTCCCTTACACCTATTCTTGTTCATCTAATTCTGACTTGCTTGTCCCTGATTTTTTTATTGTTGTGTAGCCACGAAGATTATGATATGATGGGTCGTAGGTTTCATGTGCTTGTAGTTGAATGTTTGTAATTCATAATGTATTAATATGTTTTTTAACCTACCTGCACCTATAGGTGGATATTGCTGCTGGAGGATGGCATTCTACTGCACTTACAGATGATGGAGAGGTGATTACTCGCTCGCTTGCTTGTTACTCCAAGGGATACCACCCAAGTGGCGTTTCCAATTAAGCACCATGAAAATAAATAAATAAATAAAAAGTTCTTTTAGCTGTATTAGATAGTCTTGCTTTTTAAATAATCAAGTATCAGTGACCATCTGAGATCAATGTGCCATAGTTCAACCATTCCTGAGTTGTTAACCCTGAGCCAACAGACAACCTTATTCTGTGCGTATATTATTTTATTGCAGGTGTATGGTTGGGGACGAGGGGAACACGGAAGGCTTGGATTTGGCGATAATGATAAAAGCAGTAAAATGGTGCCCCAAAGGGTTCATCTTTTAGCTGGGCAGGATATTGTTCAGGTACGATTGCAGTTATTCCTCGTCACTCCTCTAAATAGCTTAGATGGACCATATGGTGTTTAGGTAACCTTTTGAGTATATAAAGTAACATTGTGCATCATGACTTAAATTGGGGGTTCTGGAATTATTTCAACATTGCTTATGCAGGTCATGGTAATGTATAGAAAATTGATGTCTTCTGGATTTGAAAAATGTCTTGTAATAGAGATCTCATGCACTTGGGTTCAAAATCATAATTTAAGGAATAACCTACCGATTATGTAAACTTTTCTTGTTAATTTGGCATTGTTTTGATTTCTAGCTTTCAAAATCCTGCACACTTGTGATAAATCTCATTTCCTTCCAACAGTTTGAGATGGATTGTGTTTACTTGTGATGTAGGTGTCTTGTGGAGGCACTCACTCGGTTGCCTTAACACGTGATGGGCGCATGTTTTCGGTAAGAAAATCTGAAAATGCTCTGAGCTCATAAACTTAGTAAACTATTGAACAATCTTTATTCATCTGGTTGCTCTACGTGAACTTCTCATTATCTTGATTTTGCTGTTCCTATCTCTTGATTTCTCTTTTACATCATATCTGGTTCCACCAGTTTGATTAATTGGATTGCATGCGTTAAAACAGTTGAAGTTCCAATTATAGTGGCTTGTCTTTGTATTGGCAGTTTGGTCGAGGTGACCATGGACGTCTTGGATATGGAAGGAAGGTGACAACCGGTCAACCAATGGAAGTGCCCATCAACATCCCTCCCAGAAATGGCACTGAAGACAATGGACACTGGATTGCCAAACTTGTTGCTTGTGGGGGACGCCATACTCTGGCGATAGTAGAATGGAAAGCTGATGAAGCAGAAGAATCATAAAACTGATGAACTTGTTTCAGACAATTTTCCGGTAGTTCGAATAACCACTACCGTTGTTGGTTCTGTATAACAGTATTATTTAAGATCAACCAGTAACATATCTATATAGGAGGAAGAACTAGTTTCCTTATGGAGTTGATTTCATAAAAAGTGGGTTCTGCATGCTTTTTTCTTTGGTTTTTTGAGTTGGGTGGATTGACTGGCAAAATTCACAATGAACACTCATGCAAGTCCTTGCGTACAAAAACTGATACAAACACAGTGTGTCATTTAATCTACACCTTCCGATATGAACAGAAGTCTCAGATAACAATTGTCGTGCCGGTGGTTCGGGGGTGATGACCCATGGCAATTCCACCTGATCTATATCTGCTCTTAAACATCCCAGCATGCAGAAGCACCAGGTACATCAATTGACTTAGTAGTGATATTGCAATCATAGCTTCCAATGTTTGCTGAAAAACCAGTCGATAATTAGTTTAATGAATTTAATTTTGCTTCAAATTGTCAATATTTGCATTTTATTAATTCTCTTACCAAGCGTTTTCCTCTGTGTCCACCTAATATGATCTCCTTACATACGAAACTGCATAAAAAAAATCCAACCAAAACTGATTAATTTCTTAAGTTTTCTTATGAAATGCAAATAATTTTTGTTGATTTTGGTGTGGAAAGGTGAGATTCTAAGTAAACTACCCGAAAGCGAGGGCAATAATAGCCTGGGCTATGATAGCTGAAGAAGAAGCAGCAGCTAGACTATCAGTTCCCCATATCCGAAGATGCATCCACCCATTGAGCATAGAACAAGCAACAACCCCTGCTATCAATGCAGAGATCAACACAAAGCTTGTTGATGGGTTTCCTCCCAGATCTGTACACAAAATCTCAGAGCTCAAAACCCATTTAATTTATCTAGAATGAGCATAAATTAACCGATTACGACGAAAAAGAGAGTTTATATAGAGATTGAGAGAGTGAGAGAGAGAGCATACGAGGGTGATTTTGCTCTCCATTGATGTACTTATCAAGAGACCATCCAGCAAGTCCAAGCATGATCAGATGGACCACCAAGTTCACTGCTATAAGGGGAGACATTAAGCCTCTACCAATCCTTCCAACCGCCATTATCAAAGCTCAAGCTCAAGCAGGCAACCAAGTTACACTTTAACGTTCACATGGAATCTCACTCTTCAACACATAGCCTGAGTGACTCATAGAGGTTCATGGTTGGTCATCCAAGTTGATGGAACAGAAGGACAGAGCTTTGCTTACGTGGTTTATTTTTGGGAACCCCAATTACAAACGTGTCACTACCAAGGGCATGGTGCCTTTAACGTGGAGATAAACCATGAGGAATTTTGGTTCGGAAAAAGAAACAAACTAGTTTGGACTTGCGAGACATATAGAACAAAAAGTCACTTGGATCACATGTAGGCTGACGAGGGTTTATTTAAGTTTTGTTAGTATAAAAATCGATACGTGGTGTTACTTATTCACGTATTATAATATGTGAGTGATGATAGTATCAATTAATTTGTGTTAATTAGTAAATTAAAGTGTTAATTAGTAAAATCACGTGTTGATGTTACCGTTGTTACGGTGACCTCAAAATGGTGCAAATTGCATAATAAGCGCTGTCAAATTTGAACAACTTACAAATTCCCTCTTGTCTGCTACACAAGGCCAGAAACATATATAAGCTAGTATGTTGTGTAATTGATGATTGTATCCTTCTTCACGTTTACAAAGAAGGGTCTGATGCAATGACATTCAGTGGAGGCTCAACAAAGAAAAGCAAACAAGTTAAAACAAGAGCAAACAAGGTAAAGAAAAACAGTGATTTGCATGGATCAGCATAACGTCTGACAAGTGTGATGCCTTCCTCTTGGCCACTTGTTGAAGATGATGCATCGTCCAGTTGAAGAGTTGGGCATGTCAAAAACCCATATGCCACGCCTGTAAATGCAGCTCCAAAATGTGTCCTGCAACATTTACCCAATAAAAGGGTGTCAAAAGCAATGTCTAAAGATCCTATGGCATATGGTCAATTTGTGTAATTCATATAAGTCACTTGGTTTGAAGCCTTACCAGTCATCGATTGGACCAAAACTGCTCAATGTGAAGCTAAGAAGCGTAGTTATTACCGCCTTTCGGAACATGCTCTCTGAAACTTCCTTTGAAATTATGTCTTTGTTCTGGACCTGATAAGTGAGCCAAGCTCCCATCATGGCAAATATTGGTCCCTGTGATCAACTTATTGGACTTAGATAAAATTTGAAAAGAAAAAAAAAAATTGAAATGTGGAATCAATCAGATAAAGAAGTTGAGGAGCAGCTTACTGTTCCACCAACAGTTGGCTCTGGTGTATGAAGAAAGCTAATCAAGTTGCCAGAGATTCCTCCAAGTATGTAAATCAAGAAAAATGTAAATGAACCATAGCCTCTACACACTTTAGGCCCAAATGTCACAAGCCCCCAACAGCCAACGACTATGTGAAAGAGTCCTGAGTGCTGGATATACCAAATGTTTCTAAGAGGAGGTTCTATGAGCCAAACCATATAACAGATCAATGCCTAACTTCCTAATGCAAATACCCTATAATTATTTTTATAAATATTTTCACATCCAAATCACTGCCCAACTTCCTAATGCAACAGAGCTAATAATATCAAAATAAATGTTAAATGGAAACAGAACGGAAACACGAACCGAATTGTCAATCTTGTACCAGAAACATGGGTGTCACAAGCCTCCACCATTCTCCAACCAGGATCAAATCATTTATCTTTGCTCCATATAGTAATGGAAGAGAAAAGAGCCCTAAGTCAGAAGTCCTAACTGGACTTGCTATCTCAAACAGAAAAACTGCAATGTTTATAGAACCCAATATGCTTCTGCATCCAAGATGAAGAACAAAGAATTTTAACATTGACTATGAAATGAAATATAGCAGCTAGGAAAAATTAAGTTGCAGCATATTCAAATATTGATTTAGATGTTGCAGGGTCTTACATTAAGTAGAGATCAGAGATTTCATTATACTGCAGTGAATCTTGAGAACTCTGAGGACCATGATCATCCCTTGTACTTACAGGATTTCTGTAGCTCTTCTGTTCTTCCCTCTCATCAGATTTTTCAGAATCTTGATTGATAGATGATAGTTTTTCAGTAGGATTGTCTTCAGTAAGATCAACAGAACTAGATGTATAATTCTCTGAGACTCCATCTGAGGTAATAAAAATTATAAAATTAATTGCCCTTTGTTAGAAATAATTACTCACCACATATATAAGAAAGAAGCTACTTCTACCTTTATTAAGTTTTCCAAAATAATCATCAAGAGACTCCAACCCCTTCTTTAATCTCAACTGACCATTTCTAGTGAGTGGCTCCCTTGTCCTGTTTGACTTATCTGCAGGCAGATTTGTGCCATTTTGGAGTTTCCCAAGATAGGAATCTAAAGATCTGAGTTGCTTCTCATTTGTACCAGAATCTGATGCATACCAAACCATGCCTATATTCTGCTTTCTTTCATTATTTGCTAAAATGAAACTTGCCTCTCTTGTCTTCTTTTGTGTCAACACATCAGTGCTAAGAAATGAAGTAATATGCCAATTCCTGCACATATTGCTGGACATACCACTCTGTCTCATTGCATAATGATTCAGTTGAGCATTGCCTTTGTATGGGATTTTGTAGCATATTGGAACCACAGCCATGAATTCCTAAGAAAGAAAGAAAGAAAAAAAGAACAAAAGGGTATCATAGCCTAACTCTAACAGAGAATTGTGTCTTTGCGTGTGAAGTTATGCATATAAATTGGTGCTGAAGAAAACAGTGAAACAGGTGGGTGCATGTGTATTTGGTAGAGTTTTCAACAACAAAATCTTTTCCTGATACACAGTTTGTTTGGTTTATGGATATAAATTTATATGTATAAGCAGCCAAAGTTGTAAACAGTTTGCAAAAGCAGGAGACTTTCTTTTTCTCTGCAGCCAAACAAGGAGAGAGGCCACTCAAAAAGGCCAACTTTACTGAATAAAAAAACAGAAATCTTAAGAGGGTTTGCCAAAAGAACAATAAAGATGGAGATACCAATGAAAAAACAGGCAGTTGCATTGCATACCTCAATCCTCAGATTTTCCAAAATGGGTATTAATTTAAATTTGCAGAGCTTTTGAGGGGGACAAGGTCAGAGGTTGTTTGTAATTCTTGGTATACTCCCATTAATAGAAGTCTGTGCGGCCAAAGAACAACAATCCCATGAAAGACATAGGATTGAAAAAAACAGTGAGGCAGTGACAACGAGTGAAATCCCAAGTGGAACCTCCCTTATCTCTGTTGCTCCACTAGGACTTTGCCACGAGTGGCTCCCCGCTGATATGGTTTGCGTGGACAAACTCCATTTGACACCCTTTCTTCATTAGCTATTAAAAAGCTAATGGTCAAACAATGCACAACAAAAAATGAATAACGTCTTTGTCTAGACTCTGGATTATTGATTTTGTACAAAGATATGTAATATGCAATGTCATATCTGTGACAATAACATACGTGATTTGTGTGTTATGTTTCTATTGTTAGAACGTATATTTCCCCCGATATATGTGCGCAAACATTGCTCAATATAAATTGAATATATATTGAACTTAAGAGAGGCTGTACATAAAAGGAGCGTGTCATAAGTATATCCAATACTCGAAAATGGAAGTTTTGCATCGAATGCTCGCATTCTAATGCCTACAGTTTACACAAATGGTTCATGTAGTTTTGATTTTTTCTTTCTATTTTTGGCTTGTAATTTGATTCATTTTCATTAAGGTTTTCGTAGTTTCAATTATAGTAATCTTAACCTTCTAATTTTCTAACTTTGCAATTCAATGACAAGTCTTTATTTTCTTCAATTGAGTGGACAACACATGGAGTTTCAATTATAGTAATCTTACCCTTCTAATTTTCTAACTTTGCAATTCAAGGACAAGTCTTTATTCAATTGAGTGGACAACGCATGGTTACATGCCGGATGTATAGTGGGAGACATTTTAGACATTTTTTTGTCAAGTTATAAACAATAACATGAAACTTACTCGATTTCCACTATAAGGTCACCATAATCCATCACGATGTCTTATAATCCCTCACATTTGTGGGGCTTGTTGTCATATTCTCTCCAAAATTCCCAAAAACAAGGATTTGTCATTGGATTGCAAACGTTAGACAACTACATATGTAAAACTATAGAAATGAAAACTATGTGGACTTTTTTTTTTTGTGTGGGTAGTTTGGCATTGTTAATTCCATAATATTGTTTTAGTGAAAAACTTATGTTTCATGTCCAAGCTTCAAGGCCTGGGTCAAGCTTAAGATAGAAGGAACATGCCTCCTCATTATACAAATGGGCCGGCCCAACTTGAGAGGAAAGAAAATTCTCATGTTAGAGCGTGACAATCAACGTTATGACAATGTACTCACCTGTAATTGTTGCCACGAAAATCGTGAACGTTATATTGGGAAGCGAAGTAAAACCGGCTTTTTTTTCCCTTTTTAATACAAACAAAATTACAAAAATACCCTTTTAACCCTAGACGCCCCCTATTTCAGTGTTTTGTGTCTCCGCCTCTCACTCTCACATCATCAGACAACTCTCATTCACACCTCTAGATCTATCTCATCTTGTAGCTTTCTCAAAATCTCTCTCCGTCGATAATTCTGCTTTTCTTTTGCATCTCTCTCACTCTCCCTCGAAGGTGAGAAACTCCAATATTCGTCGTTTTTATTTTTCAATTACAATTTTTAAAGTTATAATCCAAATTAGGGTGTGTTTCCAATATTTATGGTGATCTTGTGAATGAAAATTGTCACTTTGAAATGCATTGATAATGCATGTTTGATTTCACTATATTATATCTTCTTGATGATTACTAATCAATTGAATGAATTTTGTAAGTGAGTAATTGATAGATTCGTTCCCCTAAATTTTGTAAGTGCATATATTTCGTTAGCTAGATCTATTATTAGATTATTGTTGTTTTTTTTTTTTTTTATACAAGAAGTAGAGAGAGATGATAATTGATTATAAGAGTGCATGAATAAATGATCTTATCCGCTTAAGCTAAAAGCCCCTTGCATTATTAGGTTATTAATGCATATCTTATGGAGTTTGTTTTTTGCTTATCATGTATATTTACATTTTTTAGGGGTTTTAGATTTTGTTTGGTTGATGGTTTGAGATTGATGGACTTTATGTTAAGAGTAGCTTTGTTTTGTTTTGTCTTTGATGTGAATTGATGAAATGGTGGTTTTTTTTTCTTTAATGAAAAAATTTTCAATTAATGAGAAGAAAATTATATAATAAACTACTTTATTTTAAGAGTCCACAACCTTAAAAATCAATTTTTTGAAATAAATAAAATTCAAAATAAACTTTTGAGAAAAAGAAAGAAAAAAAATTTATGTGCTCCACTCAATGAAGAAAGTGAACACATTTTACATTTATCTTCTCAATAGTTGTGGTTGGACATTATCTGTTTGGTGTATGGGACTTTACATGATTGGGCGTAGTCTTGCCCCAGTCTTGCCCTTTTAGAGGGAATTTATAAGCCACAATATGTTGGATTGTTGTTCAATTCCTAGGTTTATCTTACATTTACTAGAATATTAATCCAGCCCAAACCAAGCGAGCAAATAGTCGAGTTCAATTTAATAAATTGTTATCCCCTTTACCAAATTATACATGATGTGTTGAGAAATTAGTTTATATTAAATATAAAAGACGCATCCACGATATACAAAATATCTAGAGTGAGAAAATCTTAAAGCATTAACAAAATACAGACATTAAAAAAAAATGCGGAAATGTGAAATGTATCTAGATAATATGGTATCTAATCTATTGGCATTCAGAAATGGAAACGCATTTTTCTTCTGTGGAAAGATATCTGAAAGCATACAACTTAAAATGGTAAGAAGGGTAAAGTTGGCAAAATATTACCACCATAAAAGGAAATATATCTTAACCACACCCGCGCCTTTCCATTTTCACGGCCATCCAAAAAAGAATTACAAATCCAAAAAAGAAAAAAAAATCCAGAAAATTAGAAAATGTCTGTCTGTCTTTCTGTTCGTAACTCCTAAATTTCGAGTTCTGCCCAAAACTCTCCCGCCAAGTGGCCAAAATTTGAAAGACGAAGACAAAGAGCGGCTCGGCATGCTCTTCAAGTGTCGAGCCACAGGCTGTCTGAAACTGAAATCTGAGGCTTTAAAGTCCGAGTGAGCGTCAGAGTTGAGATCCAGAGGAAGAGAGAGTTAGAGAGAGAGAGAGATGGCGAGTTCTTCGAGCTCTGGTTTGGAAAACAACGCCTTGGCTCAGAAGAATGAGAGCGAAAGAGTCAGGGATGATATGGTGGCCCAAATAAAAAACCGTGTGCAAGCTGAGGGAAAAACCTGTCATCAGGTGATTTTTTGTTTTTTTTAATTTTTAGTGGGATTTGCGTACCCAATTTGTGGTGTGTTTGGTTGGTGAGAAAATTTCTGAAAGAAACGGAGAGTAGACTTTCCTAGACTTTTGTTGTTGTTGTTGTTTTTCTTGTTCGGATGATAGAAAATGTAGGAAATTATGAAAGGTGGGATTTTTTGTTTTGGTCAATTTATTTAATGGTTTGTTGGTTACATTCCGCAGTGCCGGCAGAAGACACTGAATTTTGCTGCCTCATGCACCAATATCAAGACGAAGGGTCGTCGTTGTCAAATTAATGTTTGTTCCAGATGCCTCCTGAACAGGTTAGATTAAAACAATTCTCTCTCTTTGGTTTTCCAAATAAAGTTTGTGGAATAAATTGGTATGGGATATCAAATTGAAAATAGATATGGAGAAATAGCTGAGGAGGTGGATCGTGAGGGTAACTGGAGTTGTCCCAAATGCAGAGGCATCTGTAATTGTAGTACTTGCATGTAAGTGTTTGAAATTAGCATATCATTATTATTAACTTGTATTGCTGTTTTTTTGGTGTTTTGGTGAGGCTGATTAGACATACCTGTTTTCTCAGGAACAAAAAAGGTCTCCAACCCACTGGTCTTCTTGCACCAACAGCCAAGGCAGAAGGGTTCAAATCTGTTTTTGAAATGTTGAGTGTGAAAGGGCTAGAGAACTTAGGTCGTGACAAGAATGCTGGACGCAAGGGTGCTTCGCGAAAAAAGGCTGTTGCTATAAACGAGGTTTGGTGGTTTTGATTTAATAGTATTTTGCTGCTGCATGTTGATATTTTTTTTATGTTATCTTGTTTGGATGAGTGTTGTTTAAAGTGGGTTTATGGTCTTGTGTTTTAATAGGATCCTGTTGTTGATTCTCCGAGAAAACGAGGGAAGGAGAATTCTGTTGAAGGAAGTGATGATGTGAACTTGAATGAAACACTGGACTCTGATGAGCTGAAAAGTAAGAAAGCAAAGCGGGGAAGGTTGATGGAAATTGGTAATGAGGGCAGAGATGATGCCAAGGCCAAGACTGGCAGAGGGCGCCGCAGAGGCAAGGAATGCAGCATGAAAAAGAACAAAGAGGAAGAGGGTGAGGATGATGCTGTCCTGCCTCAGGGCAAACCTGTAACAGATGCGGCGCAGATTGAGATACCACCTGAGGATGCTGGAAATGCTCTGCAATTTTTGGAATTTTTCTCAGCTTTTGGAGAGGTAATTCTCACTTTGTCTATCAAATATCAAACTAAAAGTCTAAATGGTGCTCTGATCTTGTTTTAATAGTTTTTGCTATATCATTTTGTCCCATGGCTTTGAGCCTGGCCATTGAACACTTCATTATGCACTATACTCGATACTGGGCTCTAAAGGATTCTTATGTTTTTTACAACATGAAATGGTTCTTATCTGGTGCATATTAATGATGGAAACTGTGATTAGCACTCCAAAAGACTCATCATACACCCCTTCCTTACAAAATTAAAAAAGAGAGAAAATGCACTTCAAGGAATGCATGATGATATATATATATATTTTTAGTGTGAGTAACAGCCCTTTTAATTTTTTGTGCTAAAACATTTAAACATTCATAAATTTCCACTGCATTTGATATGAAATCTCTCTTCTTCTTTTTTCTTTTTACAAGGTAGCTAGGTTCAACACCTCAACATTGCCCCTCATTATCAAAGCTCCTAATCAGTTGGGCCTAGTGATAATATCAGACTTAGGCCATATATAGGTCCAATGAGGGCCATATCAGACTTGGGTTCTCGATAGTCATCCCATCAATTACAGAGTTATTATTGAGCGGCTAGATAGATTGAACTCCTCCTCGACATAGCCTTATTATAGAAGCTCTCGTATAATTGGGCCTACTAATAATATCAGACTTGGGCAGGCCCATCCATTTTTTCATGGTGGCTATCTATTTTATTTTATTTTTCATTTTTCTGGTTAAACTTAAAACTCAAAGGAGAATGAAAAGAAAAAAAAGAAAATGGATAACATGAGGACACGTAATCAGAAATTTGGCGGTTGGGAGAAGCCGCTGCAAAACTGCTGTGCTCTCTGAAAGTCTCAACCTTTAAGGAAGAAGAAGAGAGAGAGAGAGACAAAGAGAGCTCAAATGGCAACCGAAGCACTATCAACTGTAACTGCAAGTTCAAAAGGAATCTTCCTCTGCCCCCACCAATATCACGAATTCAACCGCCACCGCTTTCTCTCTCTGCAAAACCACCACCACCACCACCATAACACTAGCTCATCAAAACCAAGGCCCATCACCAGCTTCCTCGTCCATCTGAAGCCCATTGGGCCTAGGGCCCACCAACACTCAAAGCCCAAGCCCAAATTGACCAGAGCACGAGCCGCCGACTCAACCCAGCCTACCACCGTCTCCTCCACCGCCGACAAGACCGTCGTTCCTGACGACCAGTTCTCCCTCGCTAAGGTACCTCTGCTTTACTTTCCTCACATTTCATTCACGCACCTACATATATTTCAGTTAATTTTTGTGTGATGGATGCAGGTTTCGTTTGGGGTTATTGGTCTGGGTGGTGGGCTTTCACTCTTGTCGTGAGTTCTTTGTCCTCTGTTTGGTACTTGGATAGCATTAAAGTTTCTAACTTTGTGAAGCATATTTTGATTTTTTTTAACACATATTGGTTCATAATTCATGTGTTTGTGAACAAGCAGGTATGGTTTTGGGGCGTATTTTAATATCCTTCCTGGGTCTGAATGGTCAGCATTGATGCTCACATATGGCTTCCCACTTGCAATCATTGGTATGGCTTTCAAGGTAAAATTAAAAGTAACATATTGTGTAAATTAGCTTATGAACAGTAATTAAGAACGTATTTTGCATGGTTTTGCTTCTTAAGATAGTTTATGTGTTAGCCAGGCTATCCCCAGCTATGCAGATTACTAGTTGTTGATTTGGTTGCATGAACTTTCTGTCTAGTTCATTAATTTTGATTGTCAAACAAATTCATACCTAGGTCCTTGCTCTGCTATTTACTGAAATTTTGGCTTGATTCATTTCTTGACTTGAAGTAATTTGTCTTTCTATTTGCTGATTGTAGTTCTGTTCCTCTGTTTGCAGTATGCAGAGCTAAAGCCAGTACCATGCTTGACTTATTCGGATGCTCTGAAATTAAGGGAAACAAGTGCCACTCCAATCCTTACGCAGGTAATTACGTTGAATTGGCTCATTCTTGACATGAATGTGTGGTAGTTTAGAAAATTGATGTTGTAAGGGTTTATATATGGTGTGGTAAATTTATTGCATCAACCCTCAAAAACTTTGGAATGTAATGGGCCAGTAATGCGGTGTTCATTGTTATCTCTTATTATCCAGTCTGTATTGAGATGTTTGCAGTTAGACACGTTTCTGTAGTTTCTTCATGTGCTTACTCATAACAATATTGAATGCCGGTGGGGTGATGAGTAAAGGATCCTTACGAGAAAATGTGTGCTTGAGAATCAATATCATTGAAATACTAAATAGAATGTTGAGGAAATATTATCAACCCCTTTGGACTTAGTGGTTAGTTCTAAATTTTCAAAATGTTGGCTGATTTGTTGAGTCCATGAGTGGATTAGACTTGGTCTCTTGTATCAACATTCGATGCATTCAATACTGGGTTTTTTGGTATTTAGCCAAATGATATGATATATGTAATTAGGTCAGGAATGATGTTACGAGGTATCGCTATGGAGATGAGCAGCATTTGGATGAGGCATTGAAACGAATTTTCCAGTATGGTCAGGTGTGTTGTCTGATTTGTGTTTAAATATGAGAAATGTATTTATCTATGCAGTTATTTCGGAATATTCTGCATGAGGGAAAGAAATGTATGGTCTTTCATATCCTATTTGGAAGCAACTTGTTATCGCAACACTTCACTTCTAATATTATTTAGATGTAGATAATCTTATGCTCAGTGCACAGTTACACTGTGATGGGAATATCTGCTTCAAACTCTGTTTTGTGCTTATCATTTTTCTTTTACCTGTTTTACCTTCAGGGTGGGGGAATTGCTCGGAGGAGTGCACCTACTCTCCAAAGCATTCGCGAAGAGGTTTGCTTCTCACCTAAACTTGGTTTCAACTTCAAGCGTGTAAACTTTTGACTACCTCCCATTAAATGAAATCCTTTTAATGTTGGGTGTTCTTTTTATTTATTTATATATATACAAGTGATATTGGGGATGTATTAACAGGCTAAAAGCAACTTCTGTGGTCATAGGCTTATAGCTCTAATGCAATTGATTTTCAGTTTAGGAATTTTTAGAAAAGTAGAATTTTATTCTTTCCTGAATATCATATACAAGAGCAGCCTGATAACCCTGAATATTTTTGCAAGATTTTTACTAAGTTGATAGCTGATGAGGCTTTTAATTGATTTGTGTCAGAGCGTGACCACCATTATTCCCCAGTTGCTACTATTTCAAATTATACTGTATGTTTTTAGGTCACAGAAGATGGTAGATACTCTCTAGTCCTGGTATTTGAGGCAAAAGCTCTGCAGTTATCAGATTTTGAACAAAGACAGGTAAACTTACAGAGTCCTGTTACGATTGATAGCATGAAGACCATGTTTTAAAGTTCTCTTAAATTTCACAGGATAATAAATTATTTGACCTTCTTGCATTTTGAAGATTTATTAACCCTTGTAATTCCAATAGCAAATGATACTGCATACTGATTATGTGTTCTAACAACTTTTAGGCTAAATTTGCGTCATTCTTCGGACCAGGAATCACATCTGAAATCGGTGAGTTTATACCAAAATGCTTCAATTTCGAAGTTTGTAAATTTAGAGGGTTGAAGTCATACAACAATCTGAATTTTGCTTGTACCAAATGTTTTGAAATAATACTTGTTTCCTGGTGCAGTGAAGGGAGAGAAGAATCTATATGAAGTCCGACTCATTTCTAACTCCAACGTTGACCCCTCTGCATAACCCTTGTAAAAAAATGCAATGTAGTTTAATCATTACACAGCCTCTTGTCACTTGTAAAACTGTTGTTTAAATTCAGTTGACAAAATCTTATTGTATCATACTTACAATTTTGAATAGAGAATCAGAAACACGACAAAATCTCGTTTTTTTTTTTCTTTTTCTTCAAATTCTTCTGTCATAAGAATTCCCAGGACTGATATATTTACTCCAAGATCTTCATATCAAATTTGAATCCTATTTTAAATTTTCATTTCTCCTCTTAAGATTTTTCAGATTTTCAGTTCCCTACTAAATGACCAGTAAAATATCCCATATGATATGAAGTTATTTTTTGCAGAGAGGCCTACCACTCTTACAGCACAAATAAAAAGCTTGCACGTGAACCTCAAGCTGTCAGCCAATTTAAACAGAATAAGAACAAAAACATTAACATCACTGAGTGAGCAATATACAAAAACAAAGAAAAAGGGAAAAAACAACCACCAAACCAAAGACCCCATACATGATTGTTCTCTTTTCTTAATCACAGACGCACTCAGTGACCCTGCAAAGATTTCTGCACACACCGAATCTCTCCTTCAGCCAGCTCTCCAATATTCTTTTTACCATTATCATTAAAATTTTCCACCTCTCTAATTTTCCTCAGCACCCTTTGAGATGAGAAAGAAAGATGTTCTTCTTTCTTGGTTTGTGCTTTTCTCTGTACCTTTTTCTCATCCATGACAAGCACCCACCTTGCCTGCGCTGTTGCTCATCATCCCTGTTCTTTCTCTCTTCCTTTTCTCTTTTTGTTTCTTCTTGCTCTCTTGTATCTTTCACTTCCACCTGCACTTGATATAACCCACACATAAAATCTCATACTTTCTTATATTTGGTTATCTGACTAGGAAATTAGTACATGGGGTTTGTGCTCTGAGCCTGACCCAAACTCATTGGTTCCACCATAAGTGGTATAAATTTAGGCCAAACAAATGGTGCAAAATGAAGTCCATTTTGGGCATAATTAAGCTCTTAGATAGAGAGAGAGAGAGAGAGACCATCAATTTCAAGAGACACTACTGTCACTTTCTACAACCATCAGCCTATCAGTCATGAAATTTGATCACAGGGTCACAAACACCATGAAATGACAGTCTCGTCACATCAGGTACAACTTGATGATCACAAAGTCTAGCATCAGTTTACAAGGACATGACTCTCTGGAGCAACAAACTTGTACTGAACAGTGAAATAAATCACCAAGTAACCAACCCTGAAACACATGACCATCTTTTCCAAAAAGAAGCAGAAAAGAAAATAAAAATAAAAATTCAGTGATGGGGCACTTTCATTGAGAACCCCAAAGGATTAGAAAGGACCAGAAAAGTGAAGAATCCTTATTAACACGTGCACTGAGGAATCTTCAGGGGTTCCACATAAAACAAAAGGAAGTGGTGAAAATAGAAGAAAAGAAACATATAGTTCATCCATCAATCAAGGGAAAAAAGGTAAAGTAAATTGATAGTGTGGTTTTTGCAACTTGGTACCCAATTGTGAAAATGAGTCATCCGGGGTTTTAGCCTCTGAGAAAGAACACTTATTGCAGAGGCAAGAGGCAAATTGTTTTTCCCTGCCACAGAGTTTATGTGCTGGAAAGCAGGGCCACTTGGAAGAAAATATCGAGGAAACAGAACTGGATAGGCATGTGCCATTGAAAACAAAAGGACCAAGAAGAGGGACCAATTCAATCTAATCTACTAGTCTAGTCCCCCCACTTTGAAGGGCATAGTTTAGTTTTTCATGACACCAACCACAAAATGCAACCTTAATTTAATTGTCCCATCTTTGAGAAATACGTCATTAATTAGAAACATCCTTATTACCACACAATTAACCTTAAAAAAACCTACAGCAACATAGCTAAGTGTTAGCATGTTATCTGGGATATCAGCAAGAACATACCTCTTCATCAGATTTTAATTTTGCATTTGATTTAGGCGAGTCTCCTACTCGGAATCGGTTTAACGATCTCTCTATGATTGAAGGGGTTGAAGCAGAGCTAGGAGGACTACTTGAACTCATATCAGGAGGTGTGCTTTGAGTCCCCACATCTCTGGTCGTGCCTTCTGTTTTCTTCTCTGCATTGAGAAATTAACATATGGTAGTTGTAAATTAATTAGCATATCCAAATTCCAATGCAAGCAACCATTTTTTTGTGAGTGAAAAATGACAAGTATGAGGTAAGATAAAGAGGGTTGAACCTGGAATTGGAAACTGACGAACAAAATCTTCTTTTGCAGGATTAGAAGAAGGCTTGGCATGAATTGGTCTTGAGTGGGAAGAGTAAACAAGAGGTGCAGACATTGTAATTCTATTGGTTATGTTTCGAAACGATCTTCCACTAAGTGTTTTTGCAGATAAACACTCCATTGGAACCTGCCCTGATTGAGGGTTGCATATATATTTCTCTGCTTCATTCCACTTAGAATTCAAAGCAAACCCATCTGGTGACAAAGATTCCCAACTATGATATGCTGACCTTGCCTGCAATGCTGCAAGAAAAAACACCACAAACCTGTATATTATAATTCGAATTAACAACACGCTTTCATGATCATGTTACCATTCTTGCTAATTTCTTTAAATCATTATAAAAATCTTACCTTTGAGGGCAGTGGTGAATGAGTAGGTTGCCGGGTCGATTTCGTCTGCATAAAAAGAAAGGGGAGGAACTGATGAGAAATAGTAAATGTAAGCTGGGTTTTGAATGAAACAGAGAGAAGGGTACCTCTTAAGTTATAGCCAGGAGAAGAAGCAGTACTAGAGATGGTTATGTTTGATCTGAAAGACCTTGTGTCCTCTCTGAAGCTTCTAACATATGAAGCTGAAAACCTTCTGGAATTTGTGTTTTCACGGCTGATTCTAGCCTTCACAGCCCATTCTCTCAAACTGAACTCTTGCTCATCTCGCCTTCTTGAACCATATGGTGACTCTTCCATGGTGGAGAACATAAAATGAGCTTTTTTCCTTCTTTCTCAAGTTTTAAAATTAGTAACCGAAGGCCACATGAACAAGTATGAAAACATGCAGAGCAACTTTCAAAATATGTAAACTGTCTTTCTCTTTCTGGGAAGATATGCTTAAAAAGAGTAGCTGCTACATTTGTATCAGTTTAAACATGGCGGTATATGCAATGTGCATATTGCTTTGGTTGCCTATGCCACACATATACACACACAAACTGACACGTACACATAAAGGGTGATGCTTTCTCTTTCTCCTTCCAAAAAAGAAAAGAGAAAAGCTGCAGTACAAATTTTAAGAGTAAAGAATATATTTTTACTTCCACAAAGTTTCAATTTATACACCAGCAAAGTTCATAACTTTATGGTATGATTTTTAAATACTGCAAAACAAGGGGTATATATTTCCAATATTTTTCTTGGTTTTTTTTACCAAATGCGAAAGGTTGAAAGATCATTCGCCATTCTTTGTGGGCAGGCAAGATGTGAGAGGTGTCTGCAGAGCTGACACTGGAATTTATCTAAAGAATCTTAAAATTGATAAATAACCACAGGAATGTGGGTCACAATTTTGTTGTATTTTTGCTTATGAAAAGAGTAACATTGCAATAGTACGATGTGTTGAATTTTTTTTAATCCAACAGTCCAACCAAATTTAGCATTTGAATGTGAATGCATTATACTTTTCCCTACCGGGAAACTGTTTGATTGAAGTCAGAGAAGATATGATTTGATTAATTTGTGAAAATGTATTCAAATTGACAGAGAAGTGTCAAGAAACTTTTATAATCAGGTGGAGCACAGGGTAACATGGAGGTTCATCATGGAAGTACTTGGATGGCCTTGTTGAGCAACTCAAGTGCAGTGAGGCAATTGAAGGTTAACTTAGAAGTACATATTTGAACAAGCAAAGTATATTTTGTACTTCCAAGCCCTTTGAGTAATTGCTTTTTATAGGCTCAAGTAACCACAAATCCTAATAGTTTTTGCATTAATGCTAGTGATACTTGTATTCAAAACCACGCACTCGATAACTACTTGAGCTACAAGCTCTTTAGTTTTAAAAACGTTGTTCTTACTGTAAATAGTTTTGAATTTGAAAAATTCAGACAATTGTTTTGTTTCCCTCCTGTGACCTCTCCATCAATGAGTGCATAAAATTCTGATTATTAAAAAGGAAAACAAATGTTTTACATCAGATTTTTACTTTTGGGGATATGGTTTCTAAGAGCTAACATGTTGATGAAGCAGATATTAATGTTGGGTTGCTTTCGGTCTGGGCTGGATGGTGAAGAAAAAGAGTGGATAGCAAGAAGTGGAGGGAGAAGGGCACTTGGCTTGAGGGGTGGAGTGGGGGTGAGAATGTCTGTGTGGCTGTGCATATCCATGTCATGTGATTGTCAACTCAACATCTTCTTTGAAAAAGAGTAGATTAAGGGTGGTGCGGTCCTCCAATTATGGGGAACAGAGGGCCCCACCACTGGACCTCATCATAGTCGTCAGTTTTGTCTGATGTGTAAGCAAGGTATGTTTCAGTAAAGGGACAGGTGGGGCCCATCCACTTCATTTAATTTCTAAAGTTTTCATTTCAAGGATGAGATATCTGAATCTCTGATATTATTGTCCTTTCTTTTCTTTTCCAGCTAAGGTATTATTGTCCTTGAAATACCTTCTTCTGGTTGAAGAAGTGTTTAGTGTTAACCCAAAGCTAAAGCTTTCTTTACAGAAAGTGTTTCATCATTGGAAATATTAGTAGCTCATCTCATTTTATAAAGGTTTTCATTTTACATCTGCAGATGCTAAATCCTGATTGCAAAGATATGAAGGCAAACAGAGTTCTAACAACCTATAGATTTTCATTTCCATCAATTCTGAAAGCGCACCAGACAAAATCACAAGCATAAAAGTTCAACAGAAAAAATAACCATGGGCATTCACCCTGTTAATATGTGTTGGTGAACGTTATTACAGACATTACAAGCTCTAAGAACTCAAAGTCTCAGAATGTCTGGAGTTTCATCCATATCAGACTATCCTGCAAGCCATCTCATGGGTTTCTTTACCTTTGGTCGAATGCAGGTTCAGTTCTCCAGCTGACAACCGTAGAATAGACATGCACCACATGAGGCAACAGCGAGAACCCACAGC